GTTCAGGGTCTAGGGTTTGGGGGTTTAGGGTCTCGGGTGTAGGGTACTTTAAGGCACGGATTCGGGGTTGTAATGTTTCAGGTTTAGTGTATTCAAAGATTCCTTTTGTGGCTTAGGGGTTGAGGGTTTAGAGTTTAGGGTAATCTTAAGATACGGCTTCAGGTTTTGGGGTTTAGAGTACTATAAGATTCCCAGAAAGGCCTTAGGGCTTAGGGTTTGTAGGGTTTAATGATGTTTTCGAGTTGGCTACACCATGCAATGAACTCCCGAAAGTGGGTACATGGGCTAAAGATGCCCCGTGCTGAGATTCCCTACTAGAGCGACAGGTCCATGAAACTTGAACCCACCTTTATAAAACCATAAACGCTAAACCCTAAACACAACTCTTCTGCCAATACTTCGCTACCCTTCTAGAATACCCTTTTACAATACCAATGCCTCACAGCAAAGTTATAGATACGCCGGCGAGTCAGTCAGAATGCTGCCCTATCGTAGCTTTAGTAACCTCTCGGGTCTTTATGCAACCCTGAGCGTGTAGGGTTTAGGGTTTAGGGCTTACGGCTGCTAGACTAAACCTGCAGCAAGCCTTCAAGCACTCTGAACGGTATAGAACCCCTAAATTTCCAGACCCGAAAAACCTGAACCTCAGGGTCTAGGTTCATTGGTCTGGGCGCCTAGGGCTTTGGGTTTAGGGTTTAGGGTTTAGGGTTTAGGGTTTAGGGGTTTTGGGATTTTGGCCAGGGCAGTTAGGCTTCAGGGTGTGGGGTTTTGGGCTGGACGGGGCTTGAAAGGGTTTGCAGCGGTGCGGGCTGGCAAAGAACTGGCCTGTAGGATTTAGGTTTAGGCTTGAGGGTACTCGACGGCTTAAGCTCAGTAACCTGCGTATAAACTAATATCAACTCGCTCTCTGGTGGATAACCTGGCTTTTAAATCGCGCAAGCTCAAACAAGACTAAACCCGAAACGCAAGGTGCGCGGCCCGTAGCACTTGGAGGCCAAAAACCCCAAAAGGTTTAAACCCTTATAGAACCCTTATTAGCCCAAGCCCTAAAACCCGAAACCCAAAACCCTAAACCTTAAACCCTAAACCCTGCACTTGACGCTGCCTCTGCCTGACCTCTTCGTGCGGCCCGATGTAAGGCCATGTTGGACTCGCTGTCCTCGTGCTGTGGCTCTGGGTGGCGGGTTTAGGGGTTTGAGGGCTTCGGGCTCAGGGCATTTAGGGTTTAGGGTTTAAGGATGTAGGGTTTTAGGGTTTATTAGGGTTTTCGGAAGTCCAAAAATCTATTATTCTCTACACCCTGAAACCAAAGCCCTGACGCCTGAAACCTGAAACGCGTAAGATCCCAAACGCAATGCCGCCTGCAGAAACCCTTATGGAAGCCTCATCGAGTCCTTTTAGAACTCCAAAAGCCAAGTCTTAACACTAAACCCTACACCCTAAAACTTCAAGCCTCGAAGCCCGATACCTGAATTATCTAGTGTACTCATCCTACACCCTAATCCGCCTGAACGTTCAAACCCAAACCCCTAACCCTACTTAACCCTAAACTCCCCAAACTCTAAACCCCTAAACCCTAAACCCTAAACCCTGTAAACCCTCTAAACCCTCTAAACCCTCTAAACCCTCTAAACCCTCTAAACCCTAAAGACCCTAAAGACCCTAAAGACCCTAAACGCAAACCCTAAACTCCCCAAACCCTAACCCTAAACCCTAAAAACCCTCTAAACCCACTAAACCCTAAAAACCCTCTAAACCCTAAAAAACCCTAAACCCTAAACCCCCTAAAGGAACCCTTAATAATAATTTCCTTTAGACGAACCCCCGGTTCCCCAAACTCCCCAAAAAAGTTAGAACATACGGGGGCCCTCTTCGTTAAGTCAGGCGGCCAGCAGGCCCACGTCCGCCTCGTGCTCCACCAGAAGTTGGGCGATCCTGGGAAAGTTGGGGGGGCTTGAGGGTTCTAGGGTTTAGGGCTTTTGGGGCTATAGGTCTAGGGTTTAGAGCTTTAGGCTTTAGGGTTCTAGGGTTTATGGTTGAGGGTTTAGGGTTTAGGGTTTACGGCTTTAGGGTTCTAGGGTTTAGAGTTTTAGGGCTTTAGGGCTCTAGGGTTTTAGGTTTTAGGGTTTAGGGTTTATGGTTGAGGGTTTAGGGTTTAAGGCTTAGGATTTAGGGTTTTAGGGTCTAGCGTTTAGGCCTCCGGGTTTGGGATTCAGGGTTGCAGGGTGATTTAGTGCGTTTGGGGGAGTATGTATATAGGCAATTTCATAACGTTCCTCCACTGAATCATAAGTCGGGTGCCTGCGAGAAGTTCTAAAATTAGCTACTAGCCAATCTGTAGTTTCAGCGCATACCAATCCCAACGCTAGCCCTCAACCCTAAACCCCCTAAACCCCAAAACCCCTAAACCCTAAACCCCTAAACCACTAAACTCCTAAACCCCGGGATCGCAGATGAGGACCTTTCTTCATGCACTAAAGGAAGTGAGCCGCCGGGCGTCGCTGGATTTGACAATTGAACGTGAAAGTTCCCTGAAATCTCTGAACATCTCGGAACTGGTCCCATCACTGCGAACTGTTCCGAAGGAAATTCGTCTGGTGAGGCAACAACTGTGTAGACTACTATATGGCCACTCCTATGCACGAGCCATGCGGTGTCTTTTTGGCACATCCAGCCCGGCAATTCCGTGTCATGTTCCTGTTGTACATCCAACTCTTGTTTGGAATGCATACATGCGCTCCAAGCGCGCACAGCGTACAAATCAGGAATTCCATTTTCTCGGTAGTCCGACACTTTGTGTCGCCCAGCTGAGCATCTTGGCGTGCTTCTCGCTTGGATGGTCCGAGGACGTCTGGCATAAACACCTAAACCCCTAAACTCCTCAACCCGAAACCCTAAATCCTAAACCCTAAACCCTAAACCCTCAATCCTAAACCCTAAACCCTAAACCTTAAACCCTAAACCCTAAACCTTAAACCCTAAACCCTAAACCACTTTAAGCTGTCGACCTGAGACCTGAAATTGTGAAGCCGAGTCCTTACTACAGCGATCTGAACATTGAGCGATGTCCCCTTGTCGTCCCTAGGGTTTAGGGTTTAGGGTTTAGGGTTTAGGGTTTAGGGTTTAGGGTTTAGGGTTTAGGGTTTAGGGTTTAGGGTTTAGGCTTAGGGTTTAGGGTTGAGGGTTTGACAACGAGTCGCGCCAGAATTATTCCATAACTTCCCTGCCAAAACCCTATTCAAAGACACCCCCCCACACCCTACAAAAGCCGACGAAAACACCCGAAATGCACCCTTGCAGCACCTTGGAAGAAGACCTACTCTACTTGAAAAGACCTCAACCCTATAAACCCCAAAACGTACCGAGCGTCTCTGGCAAGCCTCTGTCTGCTGCTGTGTGCAGCGGTGTCCATCCCCACTTGTCAGCAGAATTCCTCAGTAAGGCGAAGCTGGGTTGCAGGTTTGGGTTTAGGGTTCAGGGTTTAGAGTTTAGGAGTTTACGGGTTTAGGGTTTAGGGGTTTAGGGGTTTAGGGTGTAGGGGTTTAGAGGGCCACCAGTCTTCCCTGCTACAGATCTCAACGGGCCAACGCATTCTTTCAGAACATGCTTCCTGCGCGATGTGTGGCTCTTTCCTAACCCTAAACCCTAAAACCTAAACCCTAAACCCTAAACCCTAAACGGCTTGGCGCTGGACTTCCAGGCTTGCCCCCATCCTTTCTGGCCAGCAGGAGATGCTTCTGTCGTTACCAAGGAGCTCCCGAAGTTTCCCTGAGGCATTGGCTGGGTTTAGGGTTTAGGGTTTAGGGTTTAGGGTTTAGGGTTTAGGGTTTAGGGTTTAGGGTTTAGGGTTTAGGGTTTAGGGTTTAGGGTTTAGCGGCTGGGGATCCATGTAAAAGCATTGCTTCAAGAAGTGCAACTGCGTCGATGCCAACGCTCCAACAGCGACCATTTTGGCTTTGCGAAGCTTGTCTAAGAGCACGTTGGCTGCAGTTGCACAGCGCAGTATATAGGCATGGGACTGATAAACCCGTTCTGCGTATCGAAAGCCTACGTCCTGGTTCGCGGCACCAGGCACGAGTTTGTGCCATGTGTGCTTGGCCCAAATCAGACTTCGCCCTCAGGGTTTAAGGGCTAGGCTTTAGGGTTGAAGGCTTCAGAGGTTTGGGGTTTAAGGGCTTGGCGTTAGGGTTTAGGGCTCCAGGGTTGAGGGATTAGGGTTTAAGGCCTTCGGGATTCGGGTTTTAGGGGTGGGCGTAGCGGGGGCTCGAGGCTTAGAGTTCACATCAACTTCGGGAATGCGAGTGCTCGCGACCTTGGGCTTAGGGGGTTTAGGGTTTAGGGCTTTGGGTTTAGGGTTTAGGGTTTAGGGTTTCAGGGTTCAGGGGTTAGGGGACTCTTGTGATGACACAAGAGTAAAATGTTGTGATTAACGTCCATTGCGGCTCCTTGATCAGAAATCCAAAACTCTTAACAGCTGCAATCCTACCGTACGGCTCTCTTAACAGCCGCAATCCTACCACACGGTTCTTAAGCCCTTTTGGCAGTGCTGTCTAGTCTGGTTCCGCTCGTAGAGACTTAGAGATGTCCCAAAGCCGCCTTTTTGCAGACCACCTAAGTCTAAGGGCAATCAAAATCTTCTGACGGCAAACGCAGAAGCTGGATGCCTGCACGTCCTGTATCTTACGACTTGAACGATCTTCATACCTACGAACGAAGCTTCATCAAGTAGCTGCTGCTTAGCATTGACCCTTTACTATGCTTGAAATGTGTCTTGACAAGTGCTGGGTTCTATCTGTCTACGAACTTACCCAGCAGTTCATGGGTCGTCTACCCATGTATGTGGTTGAGCGAGAAGAAAGAGAGAGACAGATGGAGAGGGGACAGAAAAACATAAACAAACAGAGAGAGAGAGAGGCGCGAACGAGCTAGCCGGAGAGAAGGGAAGAAAGGGTACCATACAGTCCTTGTCTCAATGGGTCGCGCTCCAAGATGTCATTGCCAAACTGCCCCACGCTAAACACCCCGAACCCAGAGCCCAATGCTCCTTAATTAAGGCGTATACTTTGAATTACGAAGGCCTTAATCCCATGTGCGGCTTGATTAAATTAAGGCCCTAAACCCTAAACACTAGACCTTAACCTCTAAACCCTAAAGCCTAAACCCTAAACCCTAAACCTTAAACCTTAAGACAACCCTCACCATCTTCCGAAGCTTCGCCTCACCCTCGCAGCTGGCAGCAACACTCGAAGCAACTGAACCCTAAACCTTAAAAACTGAGACAATAAACTACCGTTTTTTTTCGAATGCCTTTTTCCGTCAGCATCGAACTACGGTTTAGGCCTTTGGTTTAGGGTTTACCACGGTTTAGGGTTTAGGGTTTAGGGCTGGTGGTGGCCGTACCGGAGCCCAAGACCAGAAGTCTATAGACCCAAAAATCCTTCAAACCCTGCAGAGTCCTAGCCTCCCTAAACCCTGAACTGTAGGGTTCAGGGTGTAGGGTTCAGGGTGTAGAGTTCAGGGTTTAGGGTTTGGTTTAAGGTTCAGGGTTTAGGGTTTAGGGTTTAGGGTTTAGGGGGTAGGGTTCGGGTTCAGGGTTTAGGGGTTTAGGGTTCAGGATTTAAGGACCCCTCCTAAATAGCATGCAAGGCTCACCGAACCCCTGGCCAGCACCAAGGCCTGGAGAACCTGGGCCAGGTTCGTCTATAATATATATATATATATATGTATATATATATATATATATGTGCATGTATGTGTGTGTGTATATATACATATACATATATATATATATATATATACATGTGTGTATAGATATATATATATATATATTGCTTCTACTAATGTAATGCTTCAATTAAGTAATGCTTCTATGTAATGTAGGGACCTTGATGATTAGAATAGGGTTTTGGAGTATATTAGACTATAAACTACACTCAGGAACCCCGAAACAGTAGAGGTAATTGTTAAGGCCTCCATCTTTCTGTATAAACTGAAGAGTATGTGATAAATAAAAACAGAAGAATATATGATAAATGAAAATGCAAAACAAAATTCAATGTATTATATGTACATATTCATGTGTATAGGTGTATATATATATATATACACACACACATACACCGCGTCTCAAGATTGGGGGGTCCCCTTCCTAGTGGGTCCCCATGGTAACCATCCTAATATTCACGTGCTAGCTTGAGGTTTAGGTGTTGGGTTTGGGGGTTAACGGTTTAGTGCTTAAGGTTTGGGATCCTAAAGCCTAAACCCTAAACGGGGTTTTGGGGTATCGGTCCCCTCATGTTCTCGACCTCCCAAAAATGGTTTGGCGCTTGGATGCGTGGGACTCTCGGCTCATCGCTGGTATGCTCAGACAATTTAGGGTTTAGGGTTTTTGCGGTTAGGGTTTAGGGCGTGAAGATGCTATCATCGCCATGAACAGTCACAAGAGGTATGTACCTATTCGCACGAAAATGCTACAAACAGTTGCCCGAGACGTGATTTAAATCTTATAGATCGTATTTAGAACCAGGCAGATTTATGAAACCCTCAGCCATCGTTTTGTCATTGCTCTGAATCAACACTGACACTAAGCCCTACGAAACCCCGACGAACACATCAAAAAACCCTTAAAGGAACCCTTTAAAGGAACTGTTTAAGGAACATTTACAGGAACCCTTTGAAGGAACCCTTGACGGAACAATGAAATGAACCCGGAACCCTCAAAGGAACCCTTACCCTAAACCCGAAACCCTAAACTCTACCTGGAACCGAAAAGACCTACTAGGTCTTTCCGGCTACAGGTAATGTAGGGGCCTTAACAATTAGAATAGGGTTTTGGGCTCCCTTATAGTAGAATTATGATGAGGAACCCCCAAAATAGTATTGGTAATTATTTAGGCCCCTATAGTACCCTTAACCCTAAACCCTAAACCCTAAACCCTAAACCCTTAACCCTAAACCCTAAACCCTAAACCACCCCATCTCGACCGCCCGAAAAGGCTGGAGGCGCCTCCAGATGCTCCCCTTCCACAGCGGCATGCCTTGAACCGGAGACTTCAAACGTCGGCTCTTAAGTTTACCTATGTAGTTCGGTTTAGGGTTTAGGGTTTAGGGTTTAGGGTTTAGGGTTTAGGGTTTAGGGTTTAGGGTTTAGGGTTTAGGGTTTAGGGTTTAGGGTTTAGGGTTTAGGGTTTACGTTTAGGGTTTAGGGCTT